GTGCTCCTCCTGGGAAAGTCCTACACGTTCTGAGGATCTGGCAAGCTACCTTTTTATGCACTTAGCTCGACAAACGTTGTGCTTAAGGGGACCTATGAGAGCAGTCCTCCAAGGGAGGGGACAGAGCAGGCTTCCCCTTAACTCAGGCCCTCAGACTCTCAGGGGCCAGTGCTGGGCTCCACATTTGATTCAGTTTCAAGAGTCAAACAACCATGTGTGATAGCTGGATTGGCGCCAATTTCAGTGTCCTTGCCCATGCTGTCCTAAGCAGGCCTCTCTGGAGGTGACACTATCCTCTAACTTCCTGGACTGTGGTCCTTGACTTGGGACAAGCCGTAACCAGAGACACAGGGATTTGTGCCTTACCACACTGCGGCTAAAATGCCAATCCATTAAAACCAGTCTCATCTTGGCCCCAAACACGCTGAACATGGATAGACTAGAGAAGATATATCCCTCGTCTCTGAAGGTTTAGAATTGATCCCTTCTCTAGCATCGGCCGATCAAAAATAGTCACTGTACCCTCAAGGGAATAAATTGTAAGCACAAAGTACCTTTTAGGAAAAACACGTATTTCCCCACCTTAAGTCCTTGAAGTTGGCAATGCATTTATTGCATGGAGTCCCAGCTCATCCCAACCCCGCTCAAGAATTGAATGAATATGAATGTTGCTTCCATCACTTAGAGCTACCTGCCCATCCAGACAGGTTTCATGGCAGACACGGTCAATGCCATAGTGAGGGTTAATGTGACAACTAGGACCTCTCAAGATATGCCTGCTTTCAAAAGATAGTTAAAAGACATAGGTTACAGAATTATGGATCTGTAAAACCAGAAACAAAGAGTAGTGGCCCCAGAAGAGTCTTTATTTTTCAGCCATCCAATCAAAGAGCTGCGTTTTCAGAGGTCTTTGTGGAAAACTTACAGTTTTTCAGTGGTTAGGTTGGGATAAGTCTGTGTATGTGTGGGGAAAGGTGTTCTACATAAACATTTAATGAAATGGGTATTGTTTAGATGGAGTTGATATGTATGTCTGCCTATTACTTCCATTCAAATAAAAGAGATAGAAGTACCCACTCTCAAATATAATCTTTGAGTCTTGTTATCCATCTGCCTTTTTTCTAGCCAAGTTGCCAACAGCCCTTAGGTCAGACTGGGCCTCGGTCTTGCTAAGACTACTGCAGCTGTACGTACGTACGTAGCAGTCTTTGCTGACTCTGAGCTTTGGTATACACAGCATCCTACTTTATCCCTCATATCAGATCCAACCCTTTCCGTAAAACCCCATTCAAGTCCACTTGTAGGATGGCTTCCCTAACTCTGTAAGGTATAGATCAGATGACAGTTACAGGTGTTTCCTGCTATGGGATTTACAAAGGAGTTTCCCATGAAGCCCCAGCAAAGCAGTCTGGCCCACTCACAGCATATCTCACACGTGAACTGTATGCCTACACAACTCATTCTTGTCGAGAAAATAGGTTAGAAGTTAGGACATGAAATCATTCCTTTCTTTTTTTAGCAATTGCTGGTATAATTACGGTTACCATGGAGGGAAATATGGATGGTGAAAGATAACAGACTGAGGCTCCTTGCTTGCTGATCCTTGTTCTGGAATTAACTAGTTTTTTGACCTTGGACAAGTCACTTCTTCTCTGTGAGCCTTCATTTCTTTCTTTGTGATAAAATGATGACTGGGACATATGATGCCTCAGTCCCTACCAGCTCTAAAGTTGTATGGAGACATTCATTCGTTCATTCGTTCGTTCATTCCAGAAGCATTTACTGAGCCCCACTGGTGGGTCTGCCCCTGTGCTAGGGTTCTGGGAATACAGCTAGGAAAAGACCAATACAGCAGTCTCTCTGATATCGTGCTGCTTACAATCTAGAAGGCATCTAATAGTTGCTAGCACATACCTAACAGATAACGACTCAAGCATAGCAGCAGTTAAATTCTCACTCGTGCCAAGTAGAAAGCAAGAGGTTCTAAGCAGCAGGCAGCTCTCCCCCAAGTATTCATGCAAGGATTGAAGACTCTTCCACCTTGTGGCCCGGTCATAGTCAATGCTCAGCTCTTTAGGCTGCCGTGGTTATCTGCATGGAGCCACTGGATGAGGAAAGGCAAGTTGGAGCAGGGAGCAGCGCTCCCTGCAGGAGGTACTTTGGGTTAGTTCGTGCAAGTGTCACTGGTCACACAGTCACATGGTCTCCCCTAACTGCAGGGAAGACAGGGAAAGGGACCCAGGAATCCAGAAACCCAGTCATGTGCCCAGGAAGAATAAACAGTTTTCATCCACAGCTAATCAATCTCTGCCAGGAGGTAAGGAGAGTGGAGGAAATGTGAAGAAAAGGAGATCCTACAGCAGAATTCACCAAAAGGCAGAGAGAAACGAAGAGAAAACGAAAACCAGAACAACTCAAAGCAATGACAGGACTCAGTGATTTGTGGAGGCATCTCATGAGGCCCCATCACATGAATGGCAACAAGTCAGGTGAATCTTTTGGAGGACAGTGGATCACCTGAAAATAGACAGTGACACATGGCAGCTGAGGACGGCAGGCCTCAAGAGATGAATTGATAAGTGGTGTCTAAAAACCCTAGAAATTAGCCCACATGATTCCCAGTTGAGCTAAAATTTTCATAAATAAGTCAGCATTTCTGGTGCAAACCAGTCTTACAAATTGGTGACTATGAACTACATTCAGAGCCAGGCTGGATTTTCTTTTTCCAATGGCATGATTTAAACGTCGGAAAATGTCACATGAGAAATCTGGGTTACCATGTCACCCCTGAACAATCAAAAGATATGGCAATAGTGGTTTTTCATTTTGAGTAGCAATAATCAGACAACTTTGGGTAAGCCACTGACCCCCCTTAGACTGGGCAGGTTCTATCCAATACACCATAGTCCTGCAGCTTATTTCATTTTTGACCCAGTTATTTCATAACCTGAGTTATGTAGGCAATTGAATTTGTAACCCTTAATGTAAAGAATTAATAAATTCATACCAGTCAGAAATATAACAAGAAGAACTAATTTGGGGAGTTGGTCACTTTCAGGGTCTGACAACAACCCCCATAAAACATTGTATGCACACATACATATATATGGGTAGAACAGAAACGTGAGAGCTTGCTTTGCTTTATGTTTACTTGCTTAAGCATCTATTTTCTTCAACGCATTGTGAGTTACTTTGAAAGCAAGGTTTAGAGTACCTGGCCCATAGAATGTGCCCTACTAAGGCTTTTGAAAGAAATTACAGTAAACTTATAATAAAAGGAATAACTTGAAGTGATTATAATAAAGGAAATACTGAGTGAGGTGTTGAGGTAGCCTCTCTGACTCGGGACAGATTCTACCATGATCCCAGAGCCCCAGTGGCGACTGATATCCCTGAATGTGTCCATGTGCGCCTTACAGAGAAGGAAGGGAAGGAAAGAAAGTATCAGGGTTGGAGACAAGAAGTAAGAGTGAAATGGGGAAGAAAGGGACACTAAAAAGATTCAAGTGACCATTGGTTCAAATGACCTTCTTTGGGTGATGTCCTGACAGAAACAGTCACTGTGGAAGCTGCAGTGAACAAGCCATCACAGTGATGCTCCTCCCGTCAAGATCCAGAGACCTAGGGGTGCCTGGGTAGCTCAGTTGGTTAAGCAACTGCCTTTGGCTCAGGTCATGATCCCGGAGTCCCGGGATCGAGTCCCGCATCGGGCTCCCTGCTCAGCAGGGAGTCTGCTTCTCCCTCTGACCTTCCCCCCTCTCATGCTCTCTCTCTCTCATTCTTTCTCTCAAGTAAATAAAATCTTAAAAAAAAAAAAAAAAAATCCAGAGACATAGAGAGTGATGTAGCACCTAGAGGTTCCCAACGAGAACCAGCCCATCCCACCGCCACCTGTTGGAAGAAGTCCCTCCCGTGGTTTAGCTTCATTAACCAGTATTTATCAACATTGTAGGAGTTCAGTAAAGGTTGGACTGGGTTGAATGGAACCAAAAGGAACTGAATTGACGTCACTGCTTGGTGACTTGGGTAGCAGGACAGGGAAACATCCTGGCCCTCCACAAGCTCTATGCAGAGGGCTGCCCTCGCTGAAGGCACCAGAACTATCAAAATCAATCGAGCACAAAAACAAGTCTCATGGGGATGATTAATTCTTGCTGTGAGGATGCCAGGGGATAAATGAGGTGCCAACAATTCTTTAGTCAACTCTCAGAGTTAACCATAAAGGGAGACAGGGGCTTCTGGCACAAGTTGCCCAGCCAGGCAGAGTGGGAAATGTTCACAAGTTGGCTGGTAGGGGCAGACATGTCTGGGCACAAGGGTGTTAGCTTAGCCTACCAGTATTTTTCTTGGACAGTAATGAAAGTCTTGCTGGAAATATCTTGCTATTCCCTCTTATGCTCACTCTTCTCTCTATTCTCCTAATTTAGGGGGAGAGAGGCAGAGTTGTTTTCTGAACTTCCCTGGGAAAGCTAAAGTAGGGTTTTGGTCATTTTCAGGGTCTGACAGTTGCCTCATTGATCTGCTCAGTAAGTACATATTTATTGACAACCTACTGTGTGCTAAGTGCTAGACGTAATGCAAGGGATAACAGAGACTTGGTGGTTTACTCTCTATTTGGAGAGAAAGGCCGTAAACAAGTAGACATATGCATCATAACTAACTGTGCTAAGTGGTTCAAAGAATAGGAACACAGTGCTCTAATAGAAAATTGCAAACAGCATGGTGGCAGCTTAATCAGAGAAAGCCTCTCAGAAGAAACTGAGTCCTAAAGGAAAAGAAGGATCCAGCCATGGGATGAAGAGCTAGGAAAGATTGTTCCAGGTGAAGGAAACAACATGAAAATTGTTCAGGTCTCTGAGAGCCCAACAGGAGAAGTTACCAAGAGCCTTTGTACACATGAGAGGCCCCCGGACTGACCTGAAGGAAATAGAAAGGAAATTAATTTGAGACCTTTTTGTGGTTATCAGGTTTTGGGGTCCACATGGGGTTCTGAGACTTACTGAGGAACCCCTTCAGCGAACGGCATAGAGCAAGCCAAAAGCATGACTAGCTCGAGTCCTGCTCACGTAGGAAGGCCACGGGGCTTGCCAAGCTGGACTCACGAAGCATCCATCCTACGTGAACCAGAGGATGACAGAACCAGCCCCGCCAGAGGCAGCTGGGAGTAGGATTTTCTCTCTGTTCTTCACCATGCACATGCCAGCCAAGGTCACGAGTTCAAAACGGCATCAGGAAAGTGCTTGAAGGTGCTCTAGAACAAATGTTCGGAGCTGGGGTAGGCAGCAGGCTTGGGCCACGAGGAGAGGCACACCCATTCGCAGCAGGCCTAGGTGCAGGATGGGGGATAAGAAGTTGGTTTAATAGCCAGGGAGTTCGTTATTGGTTACCAAATTCACATAAGAAAAATATAGGATTCCTAATAAAAAACAGACATCCAGACGGGGGGGTATTCTTTCTACAATGGACAAGACTCATCCTTTTGGTCTGGCAGCCTTGAGAGACATTGTTCACACCATTTCCTTTACAGTCCAAGGTTGCTAAAGGGAGAGATTAATTTTTATTGCTATGATTATCTGCTAAGTAGATGCCCTCAGGCCCTGGATGTATGTTCCATTTTGTTCTGTTAGAAGTAAATAAATTTCCTGAAGGATAATAGATTCTGGCCAAAGTACCACCTATGTAGGCCAATAGCATCAGATGTATTTGAGAAAGTGTCCAGGAAGGCCTTTCTGAACTGGGGAGGGGGGCCGGGGGGTGCGGGGGGTGGGGCTGACAAACCTTTAATCATGTGTTTGTTTTGTTTGGCATTTACTGAAAAAGCACTGACTCTCTGGCAAAATTTGGTCATGAATTCTGTGTTATTCATTTATCTAGCCTGAGTCCGGTCACTGAACTTCAACTCAGAGTGTTCAGTTCTTCCCAGAGCAACAGGTTTTGTTCCGGCTGCCGGAGATGAGACTCCTACCATGAGCCAGGTTACACTTATGTCCACTCCATGTTGTTGCCAAGATGAGTTAAATCCAACCAGAATTAAATAGAAGCTCTCAGGGGCTAGGTCAGAACTGACTTGGTCCAGGTTATAATTCCAACTGTTCTGAGCCTCCATATTTGTTTAATAATTTATTTATTTTCAGGCATTATTTCTGCATAGGGAGACCTTTTGACAATATTTCTATATCTCAGTCAGGGATTTCCCCCACTTCTACCATCTGTGTGTGTGTGTGTGTGTGTGTATTTAAGCTAAAGGAAACCTTACCACCCAGGCCCAGCAGTGATGAGGTTGTGAAGCATGCATCTTTCATCCATAAAAAGCCTCCAAACAGACTTCAGGCAGAAATTTACCAAATATTTAGCTAGGTCCCCCTGAGGTGGCGAAAACATGATTTTTCACGAACTTTAAGAGCAGTGCAAGACTTTCCACAAAGTGATAACATAGCCCTGAACACGCCAGCATATGCAACTTTTCAAGTCCCAACATCTGTTCTCTGCAATTCTAGACAGAAGTAGAACATAGCAGCAAGAGGACTCTGCAATAAACAAAAAGGGCCTTGAACTCCTGAGGCCTTTCCTCTGTGGCAGGCAGCAACGGAGAAGTCAGACGCAGAAGGCGAAGCTTGAATCCACCCTTTGTGTCCATGGCTACATTAACTGGACTCACTAAAAAAACTGGCTCCATAAAAACATTTAGATTAAAGGCCTAGTCTGTCACATTTTGAGATATTGCAAGTTGTCCTCACTTACCTAACCACGCTTAACTCTGGAGAATGGGGAGGGGGACATGGGGACGATGGTGACAGGCAAAGGTAATGGCTGAAACATTTGATTGACCTTTATGTTTGAGAGTTTTCATGGTAATGGATGCCAAGAAAAGAGCAAGTCTGTTTTCCATCCCCTTTCCCTCAGGAAACTCCTTGGGTGAGTCCTGTGCAGTTACTCATTTGATCAAACAAACATTTGTTCTCTGCCAGGCACTGAGCGTGAATAGGACAGGATATGCCACGTCAGCGACTGGGAACTCCGCTGTGGTGGTTTTCAAGCAGCCCCTTGAGTCAAGACTCCCCACAGTTCTTTACTTCTCACATTTGTCCCTGATGGCCACCCTGCCCCAACACGAAAGTTGGGACATCAGCCTTCAGGGAGGAAACACACCATTTGCCCAACTGTGCAAGTGCAGTGAAAGACACGCACGAAGAGTGGATGACATTTCATCACCATGCATGAGTGCCCCACAGCCTTCAGCTTGCCCCTTTCCATTGCCTTGGAAGAGGGGTGCTGTCTTGCCCCCCACTTCTTCCCACAGCCCCATCACCATTCCCATTCACCACCCACGTAGGCTCTTGCCACTCACCTTTCCATATTCATTCCCTAAGCCTTCTTCCAATAAGCTTCGTGTCCACTGGCATTTCCCCTTTTCTGCAAAAAATGAAGGGCACGGTGATTGTGACATGTTCTGAAGAGATTTGCTTTACCAAGAAAGTGGTGAAACCAGGCGCCTACGAGGAAATCAGAGTGAGTCACTCAGGGCTCTTAGCCTTTGCCTCGAGGGCTGTTGAACTCAAGCCCTGCAGCATTCTGCTCAACGACGAGCCCAGTTGGCCCAGCTGCAGGCCTGACAGGGTCACTCCCTAAGCAGGAGGTTATGTGGAAAAACATTAGCCAAACAGGGTCAAACTGAATCCCATGGTCTTTGTTGATATAATTTGAGAAAATGACCAACTACTGACAGGATGAAGAGTCAAGTCTAACGTATCTCATTGGATTGTAGCAGGAAAGTAAACAATTCTTAGAAAAATGATTCTAACTCCTCTGCCTCAGCAAATGTAGGAGAGAGAAAAAAGAAAGAAACATGGGCAGCTCTCACCATTTTCAATATAATGCAGAGACTAATGAACCAATTTCTACCCGATGGTACACGGCTGGATTGAAAGTTTGGCAAATGAATGAGAAACAAACCAGAGTCACTATCATCCACCTGGGAGTGACTGCAGGGGACAGAAGCTAGTAGAAACTTCTGTTTCTACCTAGCACCAGAATCGATCATGTTTTAAACACCGTTGTTAGTGATAAAGCAAAAGCTAAGACACAGAGGTGAAACTGGGCCCGACCAGAGAGTGAGGTGTGAGCCTTCATTCATGCTGAGACTCTGCCAGGATACCGCTTCCTCTTTTCTAAAAGGCAGTAAAACTCCCCCTCCTCCATGAAGCCCTCAAGGACTTCACCCATCCACACCTCCTCTTCCGAATTCCTAGAGCACCTACTTTCTTTTATGCCTCATAACATGGAGCATTTTCAGATTTTCTTTGACACTGTTCTCTGGTTGGTGTCAGGCCTATTTTCCTCTATCTCATGACTTCAAACAAGAAATCTACATTATTTTATTTTTATCTTTTTTGGCTCTCCCACACAGCCTGGTTTGGAGCTGAACATATCAAAAGCATCTAGTGCTTTCTGGGGAGGTAATTTTGATAAGAGTTTTCCTAAGAGCCACTGCCCATGGAAGAACAAGGACAGTTGATGGCTTATTTCCATTAATTTGGGGGTGGGGGGACTCGGGTAAGCACATCTGCTTGGACTGCATTTTCTTTCTTTTTTTTTTTTTTTTTAAGATTTTATTTATTTACTTGACAGAGAGAGACAGCGCGAGAGGGAACACAAGCAGGGCAAGCAGGAGAGGGAGAAGCAGGCTCCCCCCTGAGCAGGGAGCCTGATGTGGGGCCTGATCCCAGGACCCTGGGATCATGACCTAAGCCGAAGGCAGATGCTTAACGACTGAGCCACCCAGGCGCCCCTGAGTTTTCTTTTAAGCCGAAGCCTTGGATAACCCATCAAACCTGGCATTTCTTGGTGTTCTTCTTATGTCTCTTCTGTCACTCACCCATTACCAAGGCCCAAGGTCCAAGCAGGTGACATGTGCAACAAACGAAGAACACCCAATAGTGAAGAGCCCATTCTCGTCAAGCTCATAAATGCACACATCCAGACATGAATGGTTTGTCCATTTTTCACCAAATCTGGAGCCCATTTTGCTACTCTTGGGTATGAACACTGGCTCATAGGGGGCAAACGTGATCAGCCTCATCCAAGCAAAACCTCATCTTTCCAACACATGGTAGGGCTGAGTGGCCTGTGGACAAGGTTGTTTTCTCATGCACATTTGCCTCAGCAGAAAAGGCGCGATCCTTTGGTAAGAAAGGGAGAAAGGTTATTTATGCTGGGATTTTAAGGCCGGGGTTCTAATCAGTGAGGCTTAACGTAAAGAGAGTGAGTAACTGTCCTGTTTGCCTGAGACTGGTGGGGTTTCCTGAGACCAGGGAACTTCCACGCTAAAAGCAGGAAATTCCTCGCAAGCTGGGACTAGCACTGCCTAGATTCCAAAAGTCAGCTTTCTCTGCTTGTAGACCTACATCTCCCAATTCCCCTGACCTGCTTGTTACATGTAAAGCCAAAGACCAGGGGTGCCAGGGAACCCCCAAACCTATTTCCTTGGGATTGCTGTCAGATTGCGCTCCCAGGCCAGTTGCTCTCTAGAGACACTATCATCAATCTATCATTCCTTTCGTCTTCAGAGATTTCACCCTCCAATGTGAATGTCGGTCCTGACCTTCACCCTCAACTTGTCTTCCACTCTAACTGTCCATCTGTCTTCATCCTCTACCCCATTGGCTTCTTAAGTTCAACAAAAACTACACCAAATTCAATGTAACCTCATCAACCTATTTTTTTCCTTCTTTAGCATCTCATATTTACAATAATGGCTCTGCCATCCTTGCAGACTTTCACCTAGACTTCAGATTCCTCTTTTCACAGCCTCCTTCCCCCAGGATGCCTCCAAAGACTAGTCGTGTTCCAAAGCCTGTGAGTAGGCAGTTCTCCAGCTGACCGCCATCTTTCTAGTCCTTCAATTGCTGTGGTCCCAGCCAGTAGAACTGTCTCCCCTTGCCCTATGTTTCTCTCCCCTCCCACCCTAAACCCACCCATGGCTCTGATCAGGTCATTCCTCCCCTAAACACTTAGAACAGGCTCTCCTTCATCATAACATGCCCAAGACCCACACACCCTTCAGACCCCAAATGGTACCTTCCCTGTGAAGCATCATCTGCCCCTATAGAAAGTAATGTCTCTTGTGCCTGAAGTCCTCGAGCCCTTGACTCTTCCATACTCCATATGATTATCTCTAGACATTTTTATCTTCCCTTTTAAACCAAAGTCCCTGCAAGCAAAAATTGTACGTCATTCACCGTTTTATCCCCACTCACGATAATACATAAATAGATAAATAAAACCCAAGTAAGGTTGAACCTGAGGCTGACTCCCTTGCATGGATGCTGTTGTTTGATTCCCAAATGCCGCTTCTACCTCCCTGTGTCTTCTGACCACTCTACTCTACTTCTCCCCATGCTAGTCCCCCAGAGGCAAAGCCCTGAGAGCTGGGGGGGGGGGGGGGGGGGCTGTGCAGCCACTCCCCTGTCCTTACTGCAAGCCTTATCACTGTAGGATTCCTAACTGCCTTGGCAGGCCAGCAGGGCTCAGCTGAAGGGACTTTACCCCCTGCAGAATTGTGAAACAGAGATTCCTTTGAGGTACAACCTGAATTCTTTCCCTGCCCTCTGTCTTCACCTTCATAATTAGCACACTTTTCCAGCAGAGGCCCGACGCTGCACTTCATTTTGCCCTCTCTTCCACATCCCCTGGGCAGCTGTGGCCCTGCGTTTGCCTGTTTCCTGACCCAAGAAACAAAGACATGTGTTAAACTGTCTCAACATGTAATTATTTTCGATAGGGGAAATAAAGGGGTTGGCCTAAGGCATTGCTGTCTGGAGGAGGCATTTTTCCATATTCTTGTCAACTCACCCATCATGGAGTACACATTCAGAGGTTCAGAGGAGGGGAGAATCTGAACTTGTCCTTGGCTCTTTTTTTTCCCCTCCTCATCCCCTCTCCCCCCCAACCCCACCTGTTGCAGCATTTCCTGGTTTGCCTCTGAAGCCTCCAAACCCACACGTTATAGGGCTGGTACGCATCGTCAGGAGACATGCCTCTGCTGAGAAGCTCCCAGAACCCTTTAGACAAAGGAACAGAGCTGCAGCCCTTGCCACAACCGCAGGGCAAGCGGACCCCTCTCTGCAGCCATGCCCAAGTCTCCTTGCAGGAATCCTACCTTTCACTCAATCCATGCTCATCAAGCACTCACCATGTAGCTGCTCTGTGGCTACTGGTCGTACTGGAGAGTGATACTCCAAACAGCCAGGAATGAGGGAGACAGGGGCATGGTGTGGGCTCCAGCCAGAGTGCTGGAGCTGGGTTTTGTGAGGCACTGTTGTCGCTAGATTACTCCATTTGTTGCTAAATTGTGGGAACGTCCAAGGCTTTCCAGAGGAGTGACCAGAGCACCTGGGGCCGGGTGGGGGTGAGGAGGGCACTCAGAGGCTTCATGGACCAGTTATTTGCCTACGGGTATGGAATTCGCCCAGCAGTTTAATAACTGGTAGGGCCATACCAGTGTAAGCCCACTGAATATGAAGAGTCTTTGATAGAGTAATGTACAAAATTGAAGGGGGCCTTTTACCTCATGGATCTCACAGTAGAATGCAGGAGATGGATAGTACTGTGGATAGTACTGTGGTCTGAGTGTTTGTGTCATCCCCAATTCATGTACTTGGGCCCTAACCCCCAAAGTTTCTGGTGTTAGGAGGTGGGGTCTTTGGGAGGTGATGAGGGCATGAGAGTGGGACCCTCATGGATGGGATTAGTGCTCCTATAAAAGAGACTCCCTAGAACCTTCTATCATGTGAGGACACAGCAGGAAGTGTCTGACCAGGAAGAGGGTCCTAACTAGAACCTGACCATGCCAGCATGCTGATCTTGGACTTCTAGTCCAGAACTGTGAGCACTAAATGTTGTTTATAAGCAACCCAGGCTGTGATATTTTGTTATAAAAGCCCAAATGGACTAAGACAGACAGTAACCAAATATTCATATGAAAAAAATATAAGATCCCAGTTGGATTAAAAATTACCAAACATAAAACTGTGTCTGTAAATAACATTATAAAGATAGGTATTCAATGAAGTGAGAGCATGCAATAGTAGAAGTTGACCACTTCAGATTCATCAGGGAAGGCTTCTCTGAGGAAGCAAGTCAATGAGGGAATACGAGAGTGTTCTGAACAGAGCGACAGCCTATGCAAAAGTCCTGTGGTGAGGAGAAGGCAGATGTGGCTAGAGGAGAGAGAAGAAAAGAGAGTGATTGAAGGGGAAGAAGGAAGGTATATGGGGACCAATGTGGAGCCTTGAGTTCCATCTATCCCAGGAATAATGGCTTGTCAGTAAGTGATTTAAAGCAGTGGCATTATCAGATTAACATTTTCATGTTGACTGCTGCCTGGAAACTGGCTGCACCTGGAGCAGGAGGTT